AAATGTCACTTTATGTTGCAGCCTAGAAAGGGTTACTGAATAAGGAATAACCAAAACGGAGATTGGAAATGTAATAGTAATCTTTATCACATCAACAAAATACAATACTCGCCAGCGGCGTGAAATAGGTAAACCACTGCTAGTGGGGGACTACTTAACATATTACCCACACTTAAAATAGTGTCCAACGTATTTATGAGAATTGGGACATGCACATTAGTGTTCATAGGTACGGAATATAACACCGACATAGATAGATAGATAATTAACAGTATGATAGATAGATAGATAGATAGATAGATAGATAGATAGATAGATAGATAGATAATTAACAGACTGAATTTGGTAACCTAGAAAAGTTTACTGAATGAGGAATAGCCAAAACAGAGGTTGGAAATGAAATGGTAATCTTTATAACATCAACAAAATACAATACTCGCCAGCGACGTGAAATAGGTAAACCACTTTTAGTGGTGAACTACTTAGACACTATATTACTCCCACTTACATTATTGAGGATTGGTACATACCCATTACTTTTCATAGGTTCGGTATATAACACTTTACCACCTGCGCTTTTTACCACCGAATAGATGTAAACGCAACAGAACAAAACAAGGAAAAGAATGGAAAGAAGCCAAACAGAAAGAGATAAAGAAGAAAAAGAAAACAAGGAAAGGAATGGAAAGGAGCCAAACAGAAAGAGATAAAGAAGAAAAAGAAAACAAGGAAAGGAATGGAAAGGAGCCAAACAGAAAGAGATAAAGAAGAAAAAGAAAACAAGGAAAGGAATGGAAAGGAGCCAAACAGAAAGAGATAAAGAAGAAAAAGAAAACAAGGAAAGGAATGGAAAGGAGCCAAACAGAAAGAGATAAAGAAGAAAAAGAAAACAAGGAAAGGAATGGAAAGGAGTCAAACAGAAAGAGAAAAAAAGAAAAAAAAGGAAAAAGGAGCCAAACAGAAAGAGATAAAGAAGAAAAGAAAACAAGGAAAGGAAGGAAAGGAGCCAAACAGAAAAAGAAAAGAAAAAAGAAAACAAGGAAAGGAATGGAAAAGGAGCCAAACAGAAAGAGATAAAGAAGAAAAAAGAAAAAAGGAAGGAAATGAAAAAAAGGAGTCAAAAAGAAAGAGATAAAGAAGAAAAAGAAAACAAGGAAAGGAATGGAAAGGAGTAAAAAAAAGAAAAAGAAAAAAAAAAAAACAAGGAAAGGAAATGGAAAAGGAGTCAAAAAGAAAAGAGATAAAGAAGAAAAGAAAACAAGGAAAGAAATGGAAAGGAGTCAAAAAAAAGAAAAGAAGAAAAAGAAAAAAAAAGGAAAACAAGGAAAGGAATGGAAAAAGAAAACAAAAGGAAAGGAGATAAAAAGAGAAAAGAAAAAAAGGAAACAAGGAAAAGGAATGAAAGGAAAAACAAAAGAGAAAAAGAAAGAGATAAAGAAGAAAAAAAAACAAGGAAAGGAATGGAAAGGAGCCAAAAGAAAGAGAAAAAAAGAAAAAAAAAAACAAGGAAAGGAATGGAAAGGAGCAAAAAGAAAGAGATAAAGAAGAAAAAGAAAACAAGGAAAGGAATGGAAAGGAGCCAAAAAGAAAGAATAAAGAAGAAAAAAAACAAAACAAGGAAAGGAATGGAAAGGAGCCAAAAAAAAAAGAAAGAAAAAAAACAAGGAAAGGAATGGAAAAGCCAAAACAAAGGATAAAGGAAAAAAAAACAAAAGAAAGAGAAAAAGAAAAAAGAAAAAACAAGGAACAAGGAAAGGAATGGAAAGGAGCCAAAAGAAAAGAGAGATAAAGAAGAAAAAGAAAACAAGGAAAGGAATGGAAAGGAAAAAGAAAGAGATAAAGAAGAAAAAAGAAAACAAGGAAAGGAATGGAAAGGAGCCAAAAAGAAAGAGATAAAGAAGAAAAAAGAAAACAAGGAAAGGAATGAAAGGAGCCAAAAAGAAAGAGATAAAGAAAAAAAAAGAAAACAAGGAAAGGAATGGAAAGCCAAAAAGAAAGAAAAAAGAAAAAAAAAACAAGGAAAGGAATGGAAAGGAGCCAAAAAAAAGAGATAAAGAAAAAAAGAAAACAAGGAAAGGAAATGGAAAGGAGCCAAAAAAAAAGAGATAAAGAAGAAAAAGAAAACAAGGAAAGGAATGGAAAGGAGCCAAAAAGAAAGAGATAAAAAAACAAGAAAAAGAAAACAAGGAAAGGAATGGAAAAAGCCAAAAGAAAAAAAAGAAGAAAAAAAACAAGGAAATGGAAAGGAAAGGAGCAAAAAGAAAGAGATAAAGAAGAAAAGAAAACAAGGAAAGGAAATGGAAAGGAGCCAAAAAGAAAGAGATAAAGAAGAAAAGAAAACAAGGAAAGGAATGGAAAGGAGCCAAAAAGAAAGAGATAAAAAGAAGAAAAAAGAAAACAAGAAAAGGAATGGAAAGGAGCCAAAAGAAAGAGATAAAGAAGAAAAAAAAACAAGGAAAAGGAATGGAAAGGAGCCAAAAAGAAAGAGATAAAGAAGAAAAGAAAACAAGGAAAGGAATGGAAAGGAGCCAAAAGAAAGAGATAAAGAAGAAAAAAAGAAAACAAGGAAAGGAATGAAAGGAAAAAAAAAGAGATAAAGAAGAAAAAGAAAAACAAGGAAAGGAATGGAAAGGAGCCAAAAAGAAAGAGATAAAGAAGAAAAGAAAACAAGGAAAAGAATGGAAAGGAGCCAAACAGAAAAGAGATAAAGAAGAAAAAAGAAAACAAGGAAAGGAAATGGAAAGGAGCCAAAAGAAAGAGATAAAAAAAAAAAGAAAACAAGGAAAGGAATGGAAAAAAGAAAAAAAAAACAAGGAAAAAGGAATGGAAAAAGGAGTCAAAAGAAAGAAAAGAAAAAAAAAAAAAACAAGGAAAGGAATGGAAAGGAGCCAAAAAGAAAGAGATAAGAAAGAAAAAGAAAAAAACAAGGAAAGGAATGGAAAAGGAGCAAAAAAGAAAGAGAAAGGAAGAAAAAAACAAGGAAAGGAAATGGAAAAGGAGCCAAAAAGAAAGAGATAAAGAAGAAAAAAAGAAAACAAGGAAAGGAATGGAAAGGAGCCAAAAGAAAGAGATAAAGAAGAAAAGAAAACAAGGAAAGGAATGGAAAGGAGTCAAAAGAAAAGATAAAGAAAAAAAGAAAACAAGGAAAGGAAATGGAAAGGAAAAAAGAAAAAAGAAGAAAAAGAAAACAAGGAAAGGAATGGAAAGGAGCCAAAAAGAAAGAGATAAAGAAGAAAAAGAAAACAAGGAAAGGAATGGAAAGGAGCCAAAAAAAGAGAAAAGAAAAAAGAAAACAAGGAAAAGGAATGGAAGGAGCCAAAAAGAAAAGATAAAGAAAAAAAAGGAAAAGGAAAGGAATGGAAAGGAGTCAAAAGAAAGAGATAAAGAAGAAAAAAAAAAACAAGGAAAGGAATGGAAAGGAGCCAAAAAAAAGAGATAAAGAAGAAAAAAAAAACAAGGAAAGGAATGGAAAGGAGCCAAAAGAAAAGAGATAAAGAAGAAAAGAAAACAAGGGAAAGGAATGAAAGGAGCCAAAAAGAAAGAGATAAAGAAAGAAAAAAGAAAAAAGAAAAGGAATGGAAAAGAGCCAAAAGAAAGAGATAAGAAAAAAAAGAAAACAAGGAAAGGAAAAAAGGAGCCAAAAGAAAGAGATAAAGAAGAAAAAAAAAAACAAGGAAAGGAATGGAAAGGAGCCAAAAAGAAAGAGATAAAGAAGAAAAAGAAAACAAGGAAAGGAATGGAAAGGAGTCAAAAAGAAAGAGATAAAGAAGAAAAAAAAAAAAACAAGGAAAGGAATGGAAAGGAGCCAAAAAGAAAGAGATAAAGAAGAAAAAAAGAAAACAAGGAAAGGAATGGAAAGGAGCCAAAAGAAAGAGATAAAGAAGAAAAAAAAAACAAGGAAAGGAATGGAAAGGAGCCAAAAAAGAAAGAGATAAAGAAGAAAAAAGAAAACAAGGAAAGGAATGGAAAAGGAGCCAAAAAGAAAGAGATAAAGAAGAAAAAAAAACAAGGAAAGGAATGGAAAGGAGCCAAAAAAGAAAGAGAAAAGAAAAAGAAAACAAAAAAAGAAAGAGATAAAGAAGAAAAAAGAAAACAAGGAAAGGAATGGAAAGGAAAGAGATAAAGAAGAAAAAGAAAAAAAGGAAAACAAAAAAAAAAGGAAAGGGAGCCAAAAAGAAAGAGAAAAAGAAGAAAAAGAAAACAAGGAAAGGAATGGAAAGGAGCCAAAAAGAAAGAGATAAAGAAGAAAAAGAAAACAAGGAAAGGAATGGAAAGGAGCCAAAAAGAAAGAGATAAAGAAGAAAAAGAAAACAAGGAAAGGAATGGAAAGGAGCCAAAAAGAAAGAGATAAAGAAGAAAAAGAAAACAAGGAAAGGAATGGAAAGGAGCCAAAAAGAAAGAGATAAAGAAGAAAAAGAAAACAAGGAAAGGAATGGAAAGGAGCCAAAAAGAAAGAGATAAAAGAAAGGAAAGGAATGGAAAGAGTCAAAAGAAAAAAAAGAAAACAAGGAAAGGAATGGAAAGGAGCCAAAAAAGAAAGAGATAAAGAAGAAAAAAAACAAGGAAAGGAATGGAAAGGAGCCAAAAAGAAAGAGATAAAGAAGAAAAAAGAAAACAAGAAAGGAATGGAAAGGAGCCAAAAAGGAAAAAAAAAACAAGGAAAGGAATGGAAAGGAGTCAAAAAAAAAAGAGATAAAGAAGAAAAAAAAAACAAGGAAAGGAATGGAAAGGAGCCAAAAGAAAGAGATAAAGAAGAAAAAAAGAAAACAAGGAAAGGAAATGGAGCCAAAAGAAAGAGATAAAGAAGAAAAAGAAAACAAGGAAAGGAATGGAAAGGAGCCAAAAAGAAGAAAAGAAGAAAAAGAAAACAAGGAAAGGAATGGAAAGGAGCCAAAAAGAAAGAGATAAAGAAGAAAAAGAAAACAAGGAAAGGAATGGAAAGGAGCCAAAAAGAAAGAGATAAAGAAGAAAAAGAAAACAAGGAAAGGAATGGAAAGGAGTCAAAAAGAAAGAGATAAAGAAGAAAAAGAAAACAAGAAAGGAGCCAAAAAGAAAGAGATAAAGAAGAAAAAGAAAACAAGGAAAGGAATGGAAAGGAGCCAAAAAGAAAGAGATAAAGAAGAAAAAAGAAAACAAGAAAGGAATGGAAAGGAGCCAAAAAAAGGAGAAAAAGAAAAGAAAAAAAAAAAAGAAAACAAGAAAGGAAAGGAGCCAAAAACCAAAAAGAGATAAAGAAGAAAAAAAAACAAGGAAAGGAATGGAAAGGAGCCAAAAGAAAGAGATAAAGAAGAAAAAGAAAACAAGGAAAGGAAATGGAAAGGGAAAAAGAAAGAGATAAAGAAAAAAAAGGGAAAGGAATGAAATGGAAAAAAAGGAAAGGAGCCAAAAGAAAGAGATAAAGAAGAAAAAAGAAACAAGGAAAGGAATGGAAAGAAAAAAAGAAAGAAAAAGAAAAAAAGAAAACAAGGAAAGGAATGGAAAGGAGGAAAGAGATAAAGAAGAAAAAAGAAAACAAGGAAAGGAAATGGAAAAAAAAAGATAAAGAAGAAAAAAAAAACAAGGAAAGGAAATGGAAAGAAGAGATAAAGAAGAAAAAAAAACAAGGAAAGGAATGGAAAGGAGCCAAAAAGAAAGAGATAAAGAAGAAAAAGAAAACAAGAAAGGAATGGAAAGGAGCCAAAAAAAGAATAAAAGAAGAAAAAAGAAAACAAGGAAAGGAAGGAAAGAAAGGAAAGAGATAAAGAAGAAAAAAAAAAAAAAACAAGGAAAGGAATGGAAAGGAGCCAAAAGAAAGAGATAAAGAAGAAAAAGAAAACAAAGGAAAGGAATGGAAAGGAGCCAAAAAGAAAGAGATAAAAGAAGAAAAAAAAAAAAAAAAAAGGAATGGAAAGGAGCCAAAAAAAAGATAAAGAAGAAAAAAAAACAAGGAAAGGAATGGAAAGGAGCCAAAAGAAAGAGATAAAGAAGAAAAAAGAAAACAAGGAAAGGAATGGAAAGGAAAAAAAAAGAAAAAAAAGAAACAAGAGATAAAGAAGAAAAAAAAACAAGGAAAAGGAAAGGAATGGAAAGGAGCCAAAAAGAAAGAGATAAAGAAGAAAAAGAAAACAAGGAAAGGAATGAAAGGAGCCAAAAGAAAGAAAAGAAGAAAAGAAAACAAGGAAAGGAATGGAAAGGAGCAAAAAAAAAAGATAAAGAAGAAAAAAAAAAAACAAAGAAAGGAAATGGAAAGGAGCCAAAAGAAAGAGATAAAGAAGAAAAAGAAAACAAGGAAAGGAATGGAAAGGGAGCAAAAAAGAAAGAGATATAAAGAAGAAAGAAAACAAGGAAAAGGAATGGAAAAGAAAAGAGATAAAGAAGAAAAGAAAAAAAGGAAAGGAATGGAAAGAGCCAAAAAGAAAGAGATAAAGAAGAAAAAAGAAAAAAGGAAAGGAATGGAAAGGAGCAAAAAGAAAGAGATAAGAAGAAAAAAGAAAACAAGGAAAGGAAATGGAAAGGAGCCAAAAAGAAAAAGATAAAAGAAGAAAAAGAAAACAAGGAAAGGAATGGAAAGGAGCCAAAAGAAAGAGATAAAGAAGAAAAAAGAAAAACAAGGAAAGGAATGGAAAGGAGCCAAAAGAAAGAGATAAAGAAAAAAAAGAAAACAAGGAAAGGAAATGGAAAGGAGCCAAAAAAAAAAGGATAAAAGAAAAAAAAGAAAACAAGGAAAGGGAATGGAAAAAGAGCCAAAAAGAAAGAGAAAAGAAGAAAAAAAACAAAAAAGGAATGGAAAGGAAAAAAAGAAAGAGATAAAGAAGAAAAAAAAAACAAGGAAAGGGAATGGAAAAAAAGAAAAAAAAAAGAAAACAAGAAAATGGAATGGGAAAAAGGAGCCAAAAAGAAAGAGATAAAGAAAAAAGAAAAAGAAAACAAAGGAAAAGGAATGGAAAGGAGTCAAAAAAGAAAGAGATAAAGAAGAAAAGAAAACAAGGAAAGGAATGGAAAAGGAGCCAAAAAGAAAGAGATAAAGAAGAAAAAGAAAACAAGGAAAGGGTGGGAAAAAAAAAGAAAGAGATAAAGAAGAAAAAAAAACAAGAAAAGGAATGGAAAGGAGCCAAAAAAAAGAGATAAAGAAGAAAAAGAAAACAAGGAAAAGGAATGGAAAGGAGCCAAAAGAAAGAGATAAAGAAGAAAAGAAAAACAAGGAAAAAGGAATGGAAAGGAGCCAAAAAAGAAAGAGATAAAGAAAACAAGAAAACAAGGAAAGGAATGGAAAAGGAGCAAAAAGAAAGAGATAAAGAAGAAAAGAAAAAGGGCAAGGAAAGGAATGGAAAGGAGCCAAAAAGAAAGAGAGATAAAAGAAGAAAAAGAAAACAAGGAAAAGGAATGGAAAGGAGCCAAAAAGAAAGAGATAAAGAAGAAAAAGAAAACAAGGAAAGGAATGGAAGGAGCCAAAAAAAAGAGATAAAGAAAAGAAAACAAGAAAGGAATGGAAAGGAGCCAAAAAGAAAGAGATAAAAGAAGAAAAAGAAAAACAGGAAAGGAATGGAAAGGAGCCAAAAAGAAAGAGATAAAGAAGAAAAAAAGAAAACAAGGAAAGGAATGGAAAGGAGCCAAAAAAAAGAGATAAAGAAGAAAAAGAAAAAAGGAAAGGAATGGAAAAGAGCCAAAAAGAAAGAAAAAGAAGAAAAAGAAAACAAGGAAAAAAAAAAAAAAGAAGAGATAAAGAAGAAAAAAAAAAACAAGGAAAGGAATGGAAAGGAGCCAAAAGAAAGAGATAAAGGAAAAGAAACAAGAAAGAATGGAAAGGAGCCAAAAAGAAAGAGATAAAGAAGAAAAAGAAAACAAGGAAAGGAATGGAAAGGAGTCAAAAAGAAAGAGATAAAGAAGAAAAAGAAAACAAGGAAAGGAATGGAAAGGAGCCAAAAAGAAAGAGATAAAGAAGAAAAAGAAAACAAGGAAAGGAATGGAAAGGAGCCAAAAAGAAAGAGATAAAGAAGAAAAAGAAAACAAGGAAAGGAATGGAAAGGAGCCAAAAAGAAAGAGATAAAGAAAAAAGAAAACAAGGAAAGGAAATGGAAAGGAGCCAAAAAGAAAGAAAAAGAAGAAAAGAAAGGAAAGGAATGGAAAGGAGCCAAAAGAAAGAGATAAAGAAGAAAAAAAAGAAAAACAAGGAAAGGAATGGAAAGGAGCCAAAAAGAAAGAGATAAAGAAGAAAAGAAAACAAGGAAAAAGGAGCCAAAAAAGAAAGAGATAAAAAAAGAAAACAAGGAAAGGAATGGAAAGGAAAAAGAAAGAGATAAAGAAAAAAGAAAACAAGGAAAGGAATGGAAAAAAAAAGAGCCAAAAAGAAAAAGAATAAAGAAGAAAAGAAAAGAAGAAAAAAGAAAACAAGGAAAGGAATGGAAAGGAGCCAAAAAGAAAGAGATAAAGAAGAAAAAGAAAACAAGGAAAGGAATGGAAAGGAAGCCAAAAGAAAGAAGAGAAGAAAAGAAAACAAGGAAAGGAAAAGAAAGAGATAAAGAAGAAAAAGAAAACAAGGAAAGGAATGGAAAGGAGCAAAAAGAAAGATAAAAAGAAAAAAGAAAAGAAAACAAGGAAAGGAGAATGGAAAAAGGAGCCAAAAAGAAAAAGGAGCCAAAAGTAAAGAAAAGAAAAAGAAAACAAGAAAAGGAATGGAAAGGAGCAAAAAAGAAAGAGATAAAGAAGAAAAGAAAACAAGGAAAGGAATGGAAAGGAGCCAAAAGAAAGAGATAAAGAAGAAAAGAAAACAAGGAAAGGAATGGAAAGGAGCAAAAGAAAGAGATAAAGAAGAAAAGAAAACAAGGAAAGGAATGGAAAGAAAAAAAACAAGGAAAGCCAAAAAAAAAGAAAGAGATAAAGAAGAAAAGAAAACAAGGAAAGGAATGGAAAGGAGCCAAAAGAAAAAGAGATAAAGAAAAAAAAAACAAGGAAAGGAATGGAAAGGAGCAAAAAGAAAGAGATAAAGAAGAAAAAGAAAACAAGGAAAGGAATGGAAAGGAGCAAAAAAAGAGAGATATGGAAAAAGAAACAAAAGATGGAAAGGAGAAAAAAACGATAAAGAAGAAAAAGAAAACAAGGAAAGGAATGGAAAGGAGCCAAAAAGAAAGAGATAAAGAAGAAAAAGAAAACAAGGAAAGGAATGGAAAGGAGCAAAAAAGAAAGAGATAAAGAAGAAAAAGAAAACAAGGAAAGGAATGGAAAGGAGCCAAAAAAAAAACTAAAAAAAAAGATAAAGAAGAAGAAAAAAAACAAGGAAAGGAATGGAAAGGAGTCAAAAAGAAAGAGATAAAGAAGAAAAAGAAAACAAGGAAAGGAATGGAAAGGAGCCAAAAGAAAGGAAAGAAAGAAAAAAAAAACAAGGAAAGGAATGGAAAAAGAGCCAAAAAGAAAGAAAAGAAAAAAAAAAAAGGAAAGAAGGAAAGGAGCCAAAAGAAAAAGGAATGGAATGGAAAGGAGCCAAAAAAAGAAAACAAGAGATAAAGAAAAAAGAAAAAAAGAAAACAAGGAAAGGAATGGAAAGGAGCCAAAAAGAAAGAGAATAGAAGAAAAAAGAAGGAAAGGAATGGAAAGGAGCCAAAAAGAAACGGATAAAGAAGAAAAAAGAAAACAAAAAGGAGAAAAAAAGGAGCCAAAAAGAAGAAGAGATAAAAGAAGACAAAGAAAAAAAAAAGGAATGGAAAGGAGCCAAAAGAAAGAATAAAGAAGAAAAAGAAAACAAGGAAAGGAATGGAAGAGCCAAAAAGAAAGAGATAAAGAAGAAAAAAAAACAAGGAAAAGAAATGGAAAGGAAAAAAGAAAAGATAGAGAAGAAAAAAAAAAAAAGAAATAAAAAAAAAGAAAAAAAGAAGAAAAAGAAAACAAGGAAAAGAATGGAAAGGAGTCAAAAAGAAAGAGATAAAGAAGAAAAAAAAAGAAAAAAAAAGGAAAGGAAAATGAAAGGAGCCAAAAGAAAGAGATAAAGAAGAAAAAGAAAACAAGGAAAGGAATGGAAAGGAGCCAAAAAGAAAGAGATAAAGAAGAAAAAGAAAACAAAGAAAAGAATACCAATGGAATTCGTTTTTCGGAATAAAGTTAAATAAAGGAAAACATAGTTTATCGTACTGAAAAGGATTGAAAGAAGTCTTGTGAGAGGACGATAGCAGAAGGAAAATATTAAAGAACGAGAGAAAGATGTCGACAGGAAATAAATGGAGATAATGCTCGATGAATAGGCAAAATAATGAAAGAATACGTACAGAGGAAGACATTGACAAAGCAAGAAGGAATTAAAAGTTTTTTTTTGGCTTTTATGCTTATCAACAGTCGGACGCTTTGCGTCGACTCTTTCAGCATTTTCCGGTGAAAATTCCATTTCTTACATTTTTTTTTTGTTTTCATACAGAAAACAGCAAAAACTAAAGAAAAAAGATGCATAAAAAACACTCGAAACATTGCAAGACAGATAACTCGTCCTGCGCATGCGTACGGGCAGTTAGTGATGACGTTCTATTTTTTTTTTTTTTATTTATTTTTTTTTTTTTTGTCATTTGATTCCTATCTTAGAAAATAAGACACCAATGTCGATGGTGTTCCGTGTTCTTTATTCAGAGCAAACAGAATCCACGGAAGCCCACAAATACACTGACCCAGGAGGCCAACCATTCCAAGAAAAAAAAAAAAAACAGTGGAAAGGAAAATAATGAAATATTGATAAAGAATAAAAATAAATGAAGAAATTCCACACACCGATCGTTTTTATCGTTCGAGGGAAAGATTCAGAACGACGAAGAAGGCAAGAAATAACAGAATGCCTTTTGTATATCCCGCGCGGAATAGAGACGTGACAAAGCATTTTATTATAATTTAGAAGGCATACACACATCGTATAGGTTTACACACACACACACACACACACACACACACACACACACACACACACACACACACACACACACACACACACACACATCGCTTTCTGACCATTAGACCCGGGTTCGAACCACACCACGGTTGATTAACATCAAGAAATCTCCTTCCTGACAGGAAGGAAACCTTGATATTATCAGTCTGGAGAGGGGGGATGAGCCCAGCGTGCGGCATCTTTGGAAAGTGTCTGAAAACCATAATACGAGTTAACCCAAGCCTTGTGAGTGAAATTGGATAGAGGGAACATTTGGAGGCCGTCGATAGCTGTGCTAGCACGAAGTCACAAGTCATCGTGTCCGAGGGTTTGGGTGTGCTGGCATTGTGCAGATTGTTGATCATGCTACATAACACGCTTTCTCCCAGAAACTGTAACTAAGGTCTGCTCAGCATAGTTGCAGTATAAACCATAGATGGGCTCTGTGGGTGTTGAAAAAACAGAAAGATGTGCCTGAGCGAGTGTCTGCAATAGGGATTGACTAGACGCCCTACTAGACGTGTATCCTCGAATACGAGTGGCCAGCTTTTATTATATACCAGGTATAACAGTAAAATTGTCTAAATCGTGTAACAGCATAATTGTCCACCCCACAAAATGTTTAATATCTAAAAAAAAAAAGAAAAGATAAATACTGTACTCATTGAGTGTCTTTTTACCAGGTTTTCAGATAAGAAGTTTAGCCATTTTGATAAGATTTTTCGAAAGACTCACTGAGTTTTGCAGCTAGAAAGAGATCAGTTTAAAATCCTTTTGTGTCAGACCCACTGTCTTCCCAAATGAGCAATGGTGAGAGGAAAAAGATTATTCAGGTCTTCAGTAATGGTACCAACATTTCCATTCAAGAACTATCAAGAAAACGGTGAAAAAGCGGGAAAAGCCAAGAGAAAACCTGCATTAGAAGGTCACAACAGAAAGAGGGATTATCATTTAAATTAGAGCTAAAGAGATCAATTAGAAAAGATCCAGCTCAATTCATAAGAGGTTTGGCACGTGAGGGAGAAGTTTCTGCTATGACAGTTCAAAGAGTAGCGAAAAAAATATTTGAAAATGAAATCGTATGTGAAAAATGTGAGGCAAATTGTTACACTAGGACGGAAAGGTAGAAGGTTAGAGAGGGTAAAGATCATCTTGAATAAGTTGGAAAATGATCTTAGAATATATATATATATATATATATATATATATATATATATATATATATAAGGATTGAAATTGTTCATATGTGTGTGTGTGTGCATTTGAACTTAATTTCAATCCTTCATGAGTTTCCCATGCTTAGCTATGATTAATTAATGATGAACATGTCATTTTCGTTTATGATCGATTTCATCACAATTCGTCTATTAAGCTTAGAGTTTAATTATACATTCTTATTACTCAAGGTAGAATCCAGTAGTATTATAAAATCCCCGAAGAATTCCAGTAAGATATGTTTAATCATTTCTAAGTTACAACGGCTCAAAGCTTAATCTAACAAATGGACAACTTTGATTGTACACGATTTCAATAATGTTGCTGTTACACCCTGTATATATATATATATATGTAACGGGGTGTAACAACAAAATTTAAGAGATTGATTCTAATTACAAGAAAAGGTTTCTTAATATGTTTAATTTGACGAGAAAAGTACCCATCCAATAACTGTTTCAACCAAATGATTAAACACACATACACTCATATCCATACTCTGATATATATATATATATATATATATATATATATATATATATATATATATATATATATATATATGCTAGCAGCAATACCCAGTTGGTCGATCAGAAAAAGCGTTCAATTAGAATGGAGCAAAAAGAGCATCATGTTTAGATGCTACAGAGTCTATCTTCTGCAGTTACTTTAAAGTATTTCATTAAAAAAACATTTTGAATTAATGCAGTTACTGATATAACAGAAGTAGTCTGTATTTATTCAGTCGAAGTGAGCTGAGGACATGAAGGGGTAAAACAGGAAACATGAAAATGCTCTTCAGACCACAATTATTTGTCAGTGTGCTACCAGGGATCTAAAAGAGGATACATTTATAATGCAATTGTCAAGTAAAAATCGCCATATTTCGCTATATGCGCAGGTTTTCGCTATATGGGTGGACTCAAATTATCAAGCTTAATGACTATTACATAATCAACTTATTGTTGGCTACAACTGAGTGAAGTTTCTATGAGATTGCTTGAAAATCGAGGGCGTTTTTCGTTTAAAATTTCGGCTTTATCGATTATAGATTCTTTAAAAATTATAGATTTTTACACTAAGAACCTATCTCTTACATTGTATAATGTAAGTTCCAAGTTTGGTCAAAAATATATATATATATATATATGTGTGTGTGTGTGTGTGTGTGTGTGTGTGTGTGTGTTTGTGTGTATGTATGTATGTATATATATATATGTATGTGTATATATATATCTATGTATGTATAGATAACATTTAAGAAACAGATGATATTTTTATATAATGCTCAATATTAAAATAATATTCAAAATAGAGCATTAATAATATTATATAAAAAGATTACTTAACTTTTAAATATTAATTTTTTTCTGACTTCAGAGTTTCTTGGTAAAATCTCCCTTGGCATAACTTACTGAAGACCGAAAATTTTACCAAGAATCTACGAAGTCGAAAAAATTGATATTTAAAAGTTAAATAATCTTTTTACATATATATTTATGTATAAATATATATGTGTGTGTGAGCGTGTGTGTGTGTGAGAGAGAGAAAGAGAGAGAGAGCGACTATAAATGAGATGCCAGATCAGAGCCAATCACATTGCATATCCGACTCTGGATTTTGTCAAGGACCTTAAGACGAACAGCGGGGACTCCAGACAATATATGGCAGCATTATTCCAGTGGTTTTCATTATAGAAAATCTCCCCCCGCCTAAAGGTTTAACAGTGATCTTAAATGTTGTCAGAAAATGACGGCTTATTTTGCTACGTTCTTAACCTTATGAAAATATTTTCTCATGTGAGACTTTAAATATATTTTACAATTAGTAATGCTGTACTCTGTTTACCTACCAGCATTATAAACCTATTTGAACTGTTTACCATTTTCATAACAAAGATACTATTACATGGTGTATCTCCAATGCAAGGAATATAATTAGATATTACTAAAGATAAAAGAAACGTACACTTGGTGTGATATTTATTAATATATAGGAAGTTTAATTGTGTGCATATATATTTGGTTAAGTCAAATAATTTCTGTCTTTGTTTATCAAGGTTATTTTTCAATAAATAAAGTCCACTCACGTTGTATTCAATAATACATTCACCATTATCTGAAATAAATTGTCGTTTATCAGGCATCTCTCCAGTAACTTTTGAGTAAAATTCCGCAGGTTTTGACGTGAAAGAGTTTACGACGAACGCTTGTATCTGATAAAGACACATTCTTATGAAGAAATTTTGAATAAAATTAATAAACAAGAACACAGAATTTAAGATAGATAAGAACAATGCTTTATATATTAGGCTGAATAACAAATAAGTCCTGTTGTTATTCACCAACTTTTTTCTTAAAAACAAAATATAATTATATTTACACAATTATACAGCGTGCGTCAGAAATACGATATATACCACGCAGAAATATCTCCCGCCTAATGGTAAGACAATTAGCTACGGGGGTGCCCAGTAAAAACCGGTAGACTCAGAAAGATTTGAGATAACCTTTGAAAACTGGTGATGACTAATGTGACTGAATAATTCAGAAAGAATTTCCGCACATTGCCTCGGATGTTCTTCTTTGAAAAGTACGATAACTTGACGCTCAAAATCTGTGAGTTTGTGGAATCTTCCACATTAGCCTTCCACCCCTTTCGGAAAGATGTATTCTTCCCTAAAAAAAAAAAGGCCTTAACCAATCACCACTTCGTTTCAGTAAATTCAATCTTCTTTTGGTTAAAAAACACTAAACTGTAGCAAAGTCGAAACAAATCCTTTTTCTCGCTGAAGATCCCTGGAGCCGATTTTTAGACACCAAAGTCTATATAAACCCCCGCATAACTCAATTCAGTGAGTCATCAAGTTTTGTGAGATGCAACCAAACTCCACGCGTGTCAATTCACTGACTCAACATCACTTCAAAATTCTTAACAAACTTAACACAGCACTCAATCGACCATTGCCTGCTTTGTAATCAAATTACAATTGACTTAAAAAGTGAATGTTTTCACTACACAAACAGTAATTGTACAATTCATCAATTTAGCCAAACAGTTAAAGGCAAACAAGTCTTCCCAACTTAAATTCTAACTAACAAGTAACACTCACATACACACTGATATTTGAACGAATACATTTGAGATTTTTCC